CTCAGGTCAGACACCATCGGCTACTTGCTCCTCTTCATGTGTGAAAGCAGACTGGATGGGAAATTTGCAGACACACAACGGAGTGCAAACAGGTACAGGGATGCAAACCCGCAGCCACATCGTGATAAACTGCAAACATGCAGAGCTGGGAAGAACCCGCCAAGAAGGTGACAGCCTGACATGTCAGAGACGCAGGGAAATCTTGTTAGAAAGAAAACCCTCAGAATATAATTACCTTTTAAATTTGATTGTATTTTATACCTTTTTTAGCAGAAAAGCTAGAATTCTAAATAAAATCTATAATGATAGGTCCACACCTCTTCCTCATCACTACCCACAAAGCCACTCCATTTGGAACTCCCTTCGTGCTGGGGGAGCCAGTCCTTCGCAGAGGGGAGGGGAAGAGAGGGGTTTCTAGACCACAGCTCATTCTGCAGACAAGACAGTATCTGCACTCGGTGGCTCTCCAGGCGCCTTAAGGACACGGTAGCAGGGCAATAACATGGTGCCTTGCGGCAGCGCTGGGCTGCCAGAGACCTGTGAGAAAGTAACACATCCCGTGGGGATGGCAGGGTAATTTAATCAGCAGCGCTTCAGCACCGCAGAACGCGAGGGCAGGGAAATAATGAAGTCAGCGCGTCCTGGAGCTCCTCTGTGCAGCCTGAGGGGTAGACACGACCCGGGGGGCTGGCTTCTTGCCCACGGCACTGCGGTGGCAGTGGCAGCCAGAGCGCCCTGTGCTAAGGGAGTCCTGGGCAGCGTGGGATGCGAGCAGCATGCCTGGCTTGCGCCCCCTAGAGGCCAGTGGCACCGCCCCTCTTCAGTTGTGTCAGAAATGTCTCTGGACGTTGCCAAATGTCCCCTGGGAGAAAAATTGCCGGGTTGAAAAACCACTGCCCTAGATCTACTGGAAAACTGAGTTGTGAACATGTGAGCCACTTGCTTCTGAGAGTCAGGGACTGAAAAAGATAAGGGGTTGAAGCCCCTCCACCCGCAATGCTCTGTAGTAATCAGGAAGAAAAGAGGGAAAAGTTGTCAGAAATACACAATTCACCACATGTGAACGATAAATGACCAATCAAACATGGGATGGAGTTTACCTCACTAGAAATTAAATACAAATAAATAGCACTTGTGTGTTTTTAACTCATGAACAAAGACAGAAGCAAAAAGTAAATCTTTGCAACTCATTTTTCAGTATATGAGTTTTGATCCTTATATAGAAGGACAAATATCATGATTAAAAAATTTAAAATACAAATGAGAAAACTGAGATTCATTAGCAAAGAGTTTAAAAATGGTAATATAGGGTTGTCGGTGGCCTGGCAATGGGTACCCCTGGCACTCTGGGCAAAGTAAATTGTGGAAAGGGTTTGATACCCATGTCTGCACAAGGGTCGTCACCAATGCACTATCTGTAGTAGCAAAAGCGACAACAGACCTGGGACATGTTAGCTGATGAGCTCATCAGTAGGGAATGAAGAACAGTACTTCAGATCCATGAAAAAGGCATGTGGCCACAGAGAAGAATCACATAGGCACGTATGCAACACAAAAACACCCTCCATGCTGTCTAGAAAGGTCCTGGAAGAGAAAAACGGCTGGTGCTTATCTCTAGGTTATAGGACTTCAGGTTCTTCTTTCTGCCTTTGGTTTGTCTGCATTATCTGAAGCTTTGTGTCTGTAGCAGGAGTTTCTACTCATAAAAAAATAAATAAATAACGAGCACTCTGTACTCACAGCCCTCCCAACCCCAGGAGCCTGTCTGTCCCCAGCCCTGCCTTTCACCTGTGCTGCTCCCGGATGGGCTGCAGGCCTGGACTTCTTGCCAAGCAGTGGGTCCCTGCTCAGACACCTCACTGCTGGCCTGGGAGAGGCAGACGTCATTCCATGTAACAGATGGCGGCCTGAGACTCAGGAGAGGACAGAAGACTGTCCAAGGCTGCACCATTAATAAGCAGTAGTTACTGACTGTGAGGCACCGATCTTTCCAGCTGACAAAGAGTCTGCAAACCCTGGGAAAATCTGCTCAGACATCTCACAAACTGAGCCACTGTTCCCCACAGTTCCCTGGGAGCAGACACCAACGGAGGCACTTCCAGGAGGAAGCTCCCGAGTCAGCCTTTGAAAGATGCGGAGGGGTGCAATCACTGCTCCGAAAGCCTCTGCATTTCCAAGAACTCGGGAGCTCAGAGGTGGCCAGGCCTTCCCCTGACATTTCTGTATCAGAGCCTCTCTACCCCACCACGAGCTTCTCACACATCTGTACAGCTCTAGCAACAAGCATGGCAAACAGAAGACTTAGCACTGAGGGAAATACCTGGCACTGCCCAATCACCTTTGCCTAAAGCCCTCAATATTCGATATTTTTCTCAACTAAAGGTGTTTTCTCCTTTCTGGGATCTTTTCCTAAACTGCCAACATGTATCATGTGCTCTGCTAGGCTCTGGACACACGCAGCTAAGACAAGGTCCCTGTGTGAGAAGCCTTATTCCAAGAAACCATGAGCAAAGCAGAGGAGCAGTGCGAGCCGGGCCAAGAGCCTGGGCCACGCCAGGTGCTCCGCTGCGGCTCACCCTGCGCCTGCTGTCAATCTCCAAAACAGTGCACACCCCTCAACTGATTTTTAAGCACAAAAAATCATACTCCTCATCTAAATGAAAATGACCTTTGAGCTACCAACCTAATGTGGACATGGGAGCCACCACTTCCTCCTCTGGCCTGGACAACTGAAAGCCACAGGCTCTGGGGGCAGATGGCGAGCTTGGTCAGCCCTGGAGCTGGCAGGGGTGCTGGGAAGCACACAGGACCAGAACCAGAGATGAGCTCCGGTGTGGGTCAGCATGAAGTCTCAGTGGGGACTCAAGGTCATTTCACCTTATTTCCTCATCCACGAGGCGGAAGCACAAGTCCTACTGATGGCTGCAGCATCTGTGTGACAGCAGTAACACGAAGAGGTGCTGTTTAGTGCAAAGTTGGGGAGGACTGGCGGGTGGGCACAGGCCGGCCTCTGATGCAGCTGTCCACTGCTCCACAGCACACTGAGCACGAAGGACAGGCTGCCACCAGAGGCAACCAAGGGAAGACTGGCCCTCAGACTCCACATGGAGCTGCCATAAGGTGCGGGGTAAGATGCTCACGTGTGCCTCGGTTCTCTCAGAGCTTGCTTCAGCACCATGGGAAACCCAGAGAATCGGAAAAGTCCAATGCAAACAGAACCGATTTGTTAGGATCTAACACTGAAAAACAACTGCTGGCAGTTCACCCTGCAGGAAAACTCACTGAGGAGCAAAGATCCCTTAGGGAAGATAAATGTAAGAGATACAGTGGAGGGCTAAAAGAAATGACCACTAGGGCTGGGGATGTGGCTCAAGCGGTAGCGCGCTCGCCTGGCATGCATGCGGCCCGGGTTCGATCCTCAGCACCACATACAAACAAGGATGTTGTGTCTGTCAAAAAAATAAATATTAAAAAAAAAAGAAATGACCACTACATGCTGCAGAAACATCTAGAAGGAGAACATGGCCCCCAAAAAACACTCCACTGGGAAAAAAACTGTTGGAAGCAGGTCATTAGCACCTGCTCCCAGATGAACCCAAACAGCTAAAAAAAAAGGCAAAAAGACCTTGCCCAAGCTGGGGTGAGTGAAGCAGCCGGGAAGAGGTGTGTGCTAACAGGCCTCCTGAACTCTCAGGCAGGATGTTCAAGGAGCGTGATGATTTTACCATTAGACCAAATACTCCAGGCCTTGAGTCAGAGACACTGACTTTAAACACACAGATTCAGGACACGCCAGCCACCTGCGTGTGTGGCACTCTCAACTGTGAGAACCAAACACATCTCTCACTGAGGGCAAATGTAAGAAACTCTCAAATGCTTTCTACAGTCATGTTTAACTAAAAAGAACAAATAAAAAATAAATTAAAAAAAAGAAACTCTCACAACACTCTCAGAAAGTTGGGTTTTCTTCTCCAAAAATCATTTATACCTGCTACAGAAACGCTGAAACAGTAAACAGCTGTGTGCCCAGGAATGGCCTAGCACAGGGCTTCTGTGACAGGAGAGGGGAGAAGGCCCCCTTGTGCCACACTGAGCAGATCCCAGTCCTTCGACAGTGGTGCAGGAAGGGAGAAGGACCGCCTCTGGACACGTCACCACCGTGGCTGGAACAGTCCTAAGGCAGATGGCACATGGAAACCCAGAACAGGGCCCGGGGCACTCAGGGCCACTGCTGGCAGCACTGCCCGAGGTTAGAACGCAGCAGTCAGTTCGGAGTGTTCACATGATTTTAAAAGCCAGGATATGGTTCCTCCGTTGTATCTGAGACCCACTCTCGAAGACATTGTCAAAACCAAAAATAACTCCCTAGAGAGAAGATCCACATTCCAAGGGACAAGCCATCTTATCTGGATGAAGGGACAATTTAACTCGTGAAACTCTAGGACCCAGGACAACAACAAAAATAATTTCTTTGAATATATTCAACTAGAATGGTAAGGCATTTTCCTCCATAAAACACTATGGTTTTCCCAGTATTCCAAAGGAATCTAATAAATAATTTTACCGAGAAGAGCCCAGATCAAAATGGAAGTGAACACCTGGAGCCTGATGGACACAAGCCACAGGCCCCTGTGTGGGTGCCGAGCTGAGTCTCCAGGGAGGCCGACACCACCCCCAGCTCAGCCCGCGGTTCTTTCCTGCCTGGGCCCAGCCCGAGGTTCCAGTCCGCTTCATAGAAGAGCTCTGCCAGGTGCAGCCTGATGGTGGGCAGCACCCGTGGACAGCATAGGAAGTGGTCACAGTCAAAGTGTCCCCATGCCACCTTGTCTCCTTGCCCTGGACTGGCTGGGACATTTAAGTCTGGCCCTGGGTGGCGCGTCCTCCAGCAGTGTCTCAGGCTGCAGCAGCCGTCACGCAGGGAAGAGCTCGGGCGGGCTCTCTCCGTAGCAGTACTTGGCCACGGGGTCCCGATAGGTGTTCTCGTGCTGCACACTCTGTGGGCAAAAGGGGGACAAACACAGGGTGAGAGGCAGAATGGGCAGGAGCAGGCGGCCAGCAGGCTCTCCCCACAGGAGGCCGGCCCAGGCCATCTCCAGGGTGACTGACTGGAGGCTCCCAGGACCCTCTGAACAAGGAAGGAACTCAGCACTGAGTTTTCAGAACTTTGTTTTCATACAAGCAACTTGAGTTTTAGGCAGGTTCATTAAGTAGCCCAAGACCGAAGCGACTGAAGTATTAATCCAATATAAGTAGGTATCAATCCAACTTGACAGCCATACAGCCAAACCTCCTCTTTGTTGGGATGTTGTTATCAAAATGAACTGAAAGGCAATTGGGAAATCGCCATTTATAATAAAATGAAACTCAAAAAGCAGAGTAGCTTTGTACCAGTAGTCCACCTCACTTATGAATATAGCCCTCCTTGCTCTGAAGCTCATTTTAAAAGGGACATTTCCACCCCCCCTCTTTTCCCTCTCCCCTCCCTAACAGGATTGGGGAGACAGGGTTATCTTTTCTTCTGCACCTTAGGCCTAGCTGTCTGTCTTTGAGCACACACCCACCACAGGAAGATCCAGGAAGTGACTATCTCCCAAATTAACGGGTGAATCTCCACATCATCAGGGCACCTAGGATCCACCACACTGGGCACACCTGGAATGTAGGCTTTGAATCCTCTTTAAAACACCCTCTGCTCTCCCTGACGCGCAGAACCACAGCCTCTAGGAGACGGTCCCTTGTGCTTCTCCTTTGCTAGCATATGAACCTTCCTTTTCCTTTTTCTAAAACCGTGTCCTCCTTATTAAATTGGCATCAGGGACAAAGACTGAGCTTTCGGTAACAGCTTCACTTAAGATTGGAAATACTTCTGGGTTTTATCAGTTATGGAAAGAAAATGCTTGGCCTCTTCTTGCATTTCTCAGAATGAGAGCGATGTGAATCAAAGTCCTGCATCCAGCCCTCCTCTTTAAAGTCCACTCAAGCGGAAAGCTCCTCAGGCAAAACAAGGCCACCAGGAACTTTTAATGCTCTCAAATGCTCCTTCCACCCTGGAACACTTGCCGTGCTCTCAGAGCAGACCAGAGACATCAGAAGGGGCATAAAATCAAAAGGTGGGCCACAGAAGCCTGGCGAAGGGCACAAGAGTTCCAGAGCATGGTGAATGAGCTGCTACCTCAGGGAAGCCAGTGAAATCTTGGTGGCACACCTGGCGATTTCAAAGCTGAGGGCAGAGTGCGGAGAGCCAAGGGCCTTCAGACCTCTCGGTGACAGGTGCACTCTGTGTGAGGAATAGACAATCCCGGTGGTCCACTTTCAGAACAGTACTTAGCTTCAAATGTAAAGTGACTTGGGATGCAGGAAAGGCAGCTGGCCAGGGGAGCAGGATGGAAAGTTACAAGCAGTCAACACCAGAGTGTCAAAACTCACAGCCCCTGACAAACAGGAGGTGAGAAGGAAGGGGCCCACCTGGCCCTGACCAACAGAGATAAACTGTGAAATTGCCAAAAGCCACTCAGCCCAGGAGACTTCACCACAAGAGAACACAGGGAGGTGGGACAACTAAGACACATTCCTTTAAATAACCCAATAGGAGCGGGTGAGACCTAGGTGACTTGGGGAAGATAGTACAGCCAATGAGGAGCTGGGAGAGGGGATAAAATACTGGTCCTACCCAACCTGGGGGTCCCTGAGCACCGAGTGGGCACTGAATCTTGCAAGACCATCATTAAAGTCTCACTCTTTGCTGATCCTGTGTCTCTTAGACAGGTGAGCATGTCTCTTACAACCCGGGAGCTTGTCCTGGAGGAGATGCGTCCCACCCAACTTTGGGTGGCCTGCTCTGCCCAGATATCCCATTGCCCACCAGCGGGAGCAACACTGGGTTTCCTTGGCTGAGGCAGGAAATTGGACCAGGAGTGCTGCTCCAGTGGTTGGGAATTTTCGGAGGTTGAATATGTGTGACTGAGACACACCCTGGGCACTTTGCAGAGCCCCACTCGTGGTTCCAGACGGCTGGAGACTGACTGAGCTCAGCTCATGCAGGAAACTCCATTGAGGGGGCTGAGCACATGTGTGGCCCAGGGAGCACAAGGAATCCCCAGTGACGGGAGCTGAGCACACGGGTTCTGGGAGGTTGAGTCCACGAGGTGAAACTCGGTTACAGAAACCTAGTAAGAATGGGGAATAAAAACTCTAGGCCCAGGGAAAGGGAAGGCAAGTGGAAAGATCCCACCTGTACCCATCTTCTTTAAGAACTTTAAGCACTCATGGACCCCGCATTCTTTACTGTTCTGTTCTGACCAGTCTTGTTCTGTCTGACAGAGTTTCCAACTCTGCCTTTCTTTTGTGCTATTTTTATATGGACGCCAGGTACTTGAGTTAACTCTCAAGTTCACTAGAAAAGGAAAGAAATCTTCTCCCTTAAAAAGTCCCAGGCACGGGGGTGGGGGCTGGGGCTGGGGCTCCGTGGTACAGCGCTTGCCTAGCATGTGTGAGGCCCTGGGTTTGATCTCTAGCACTACATATAAATAAAATAAAGGTCCGCTGACAACTAAAAAAATATTCTTAAAAAGTCCCAGGCAGGGAAAATATACAGTGGCGATGGTGGGAGTGAATCTGTTCTGTAGAGGACGAGTGGCCAGCTGGACCGCTCATGTCAGCGTCCACCATGGCTGTCAGAGTCCATTCCTCATGTTCCCAATGGCACATGCCCTTTCCATGTCGGGGGTCATACTAAGAAATCTGTGACAGGCTCTACTTTAACTTCTATAGGTCAATTTACATTGGTAAGAATGAAGGGTCTTTGAAATTACTAACCTGGACGTTTTTCTAGTTGGCCAGGCAATCAAGAAAACATTAGTTTCTATAAAATGTTTAAAGTGCAATGTTCATTACTTTAAGGATTTTTATTTGGCAGGAATAATTGATTTAAAGTGTTAACTGGACTTGTCTGATACCTTGTTTTTTATGGGTAACCTAAGTTAAAAATGGGTAAATTAGATTCAATCTAAGTGGGACAACATTTATGAATGTGTTTGTTAGAGGAGACGTCTGATTAATTTGCAAAGTTAAAAACATCGACTGCTAAGTTTAAATTTAAGTGCTGGTGACTTCTTGAATTCCAGAAGTTGACATATATTTGGGTCTGTTAAATGTCTTTATAAGTTGGGAAATGGAAAAACAGTCTTAAAGTTGCTTTGCTTCTGGGCCTAGCAAGGTTGCTAAGAGTTAAGATTCTAATAGGTGTAATTCTATATGTTGGGAATACAAAAAGTTTCAGCTATGTTTTCATTAAAGTATTGTAAATAAAGTATTTAATCTTATTAAAAAAGGACTAATTTGTCTGAATTCAGAAATCTCATAAATTTGTCTAATTTCAGAATGTAAATTTAGGAAAGAGTCAACAACTGGAAGAAGGGATATAAAAAGTTACAGGTATGGAAATGTATGTTTTTGAACAAGAAGTATTTTGTATGATAAAGTAGTATTTTGGTGCAGAAGTCTATGTGAAAGCAAGGACAAAGCTAAGGATGTAAACAAGCTGTAGAATGTCTAAGTTGCAAAAGGTTTGTGGAAGGTAAGTCTCTAAAAGTTTATGCATGTGATTAAGTTGACTATGAGTAGTCCAGTCAGAAAAAATTATTTAAAGGCTTTTCTAAGGTCAATTTAAAGGCACAGATATGAAACAAAGTTTAAAACATTGAGTTGTTCTTATCCATCAAGAGAATTTGTGTCTGTTAGGTTTTATTACTAAAGGAAAGCAAGTCTGAAAGGAATTAGAATTTGTTCCAGTTTTAAAGTCTTTTAAATGATTACTTTGTAACTGGTTAAATAAACAACTGTTCTCTTTTATACACTATATTTGATATAAAAGGGTCACGCTCCCATTTCAAAACCTGACTTATATCTGTTTGCTTTGGTGAAGTCTATTTCTAATCATTAACAGTGTTTTCTAAATGTAAAAGAGATTTAAGTCTAGCTTAGAAAAGCACTTTACCAAGCTTATGTCCTCCAAACTAAAATTGTCTGTAGCAATAGTCTCCTTCAGATTTATGTCATTTAGTATTCTGGAACTGGATATGGGTAACCCATTATCAATAAGTTATACACAGAATTTTCTGTTACCTTTTAGAATAAGATAGAAATTTAAATGTACTTTTGGAAGATAATCAGGAGAGTCTAAACTTGTTTAAAGGCTGACAATGTGGAACACAGACGCAGTTTACCACTTTTCCCTCAAAAAGAAAGGAAAAAGCTCTCTTAGCTTCTGCTTTGATCCATATTTTAGATGTCACATTATAGTGCATTGACTGATGCTCATATAGACTCAGGAAACAACATATGAGAACTCTGTAAAATTATATTTAAGAAAGAGGCAAGATCAATTTCAGAAATAAGACACTTTACCTAAGATTAGTCAAGAACCCTGCCTCACCTGAGAGAAGGCTCTGCCTCTCACCTTACTTCATGTTAGGATTACTCCAAGAAGGCTAGCTTTAAAAACTCATTTAAAAAAACATAACCATGGGATGGGGACATAGCTTAGTTGTCAGAGTGCTTTCCTCACATGCACAAGACCTTGGGTTCAATCCCCAGCACCACAAAAAAAAATAATAATAATAATTAAAAATAAATGTGGGTAAATGACAGAAATCAATAAGAGGAAAGGTAGCAGGGGTGGGGAGAGGGAAGGGAAAGGAGAGGTACTGGGATCTGAATTAGAACAAGATATGCTCCATGCTTGTATAATTACATCAAAATGGATTCTGTCATATATAACTAAAAAGAATCAATAATTAAAAAATAGTTGAGATCAAAAAACATATTTTTGTTGTAAAGATTACCATAATCTCAAAATAAACAAGAGACATAATACAAAACTAAGTAAAGGTTTGGGTGAATTATAAAAGATATACAACGTCTTAAAAATTTTAAAGTAAAATTGTAAAGGATCTCATATATGATTGATTTTGATAAATTTATGGATCTTTCTGGAGGCAAATAGATACAAAAGATATTAGTGTTATTATAGAAATGATATTTATTGGTACAAAGCTATTATGCTTACTGAATGTTTTTGTTCTTTTTAAAAAAATTTTTTTTTAAATTTTCCTTTTGTGCTTGTTGCCTGTTGGTATTTGCAGAGCTACTTCTTCTATTAGAACAGCCGGAGTTAATCTGAAACGATAAACCATTACCTACAGGACAGACAGGCTATAAGGCTAACTTCCAGTATTAATACTGACCCCAATTAAAATTATAGACATGTAAGTTAAAACCTACCACTCCCACTTGAAGACTGGTGAAACTGGCCTGATGAATTTTTAAAACCAAAAATATGGACACCAAAGTCAAGAAAGTAAAAGGACCCAGGAAAAGGCAATCAATAAAAATTTTGGCCCTTGCTGTCTAAGATGAGCAAGACCCAGGAATGATGAGAACCCTCTAAGATCACCTGTTCTCCCGATCAGAGGGATCAAGAGGACCCTGGAGAACAGGAAGCCGTTTAGTGCACACTCTGCCAAGAGGAAGGTCATTCGAAAGGGAAATGCCCTGATGTTACCAAGGGAAGCCAACTGTGGTCAGCAAGATCCTGAGCCATCCTGGGAGATAGTACAACTGGGAGAGGAAAACCAAAGAAGCCAAGAGGTTTTTCATATGTTCCCAAGAATGGTCTCTGGAATTTCAACTGATTCTAAAAGTAGATAAGAACAAGGTCAATTTTGACCAACTGGTCTTAAATACCTGCCAGCACAACCATGCTTCGACATTTTTAAGAAAAGACAATGGTTAACTAGAGATGTACACTTGTGTCAGTCCTTGCAAAATTAAGTAAAACTGAGAGGTTATAAAGGAAGAGTTTTTACACAAGAGTGCTTGATGAATATCACAGCTCTACCTGAGTCATAAGTCTGTTCTGAGTCAATTTAAGACGGACAAGTCTTTATAACCTCCTACACAGGTGACTTACTCTGTGTTTGTTGGTGGTAGTAGTATGATTATCTAGCCCTAATATTTATTATGAGCTGCTTAATGAGCGCCCCTACTTGGGAAAAAGCTACAGAATTCTCTACCATGGAAACTAAAGGCCAATTTCTAAGAAAATATATGCTGGTATTAATTAATTAATTAATGTACTTAATCATCACTCAAGTTAAAGGGACTCCTTGCTCAGACTCCTCCTCCAGGATTCAAAAGTTGTCACTTCCACTTCCAGCCTTATGACTTGGTTTTAGCCACGACCAAGAAAGAAGACAAGTTTCCACCCATCTGTAAAGGAATTTACCAATGCTCCTGATGCCTGGGACAGCTGTCTGAACTACTAAAAGGGGTGAACCTATTTCCATGGTGGTTTCCACCTCAAAAAGTAAATATGACTAAGATAGGTGACAATACCAAAGGGTACAGGAACAAAAATGAAAACGAGACCAAAAGACGGAAAAAGAAAAAGGGGGGATTGGTGAGAAACAGAAAGTCTGGCTGTCCATTTTCAGAACATGCTCAGCTTCAAATGTAAAGTGACTTGGGATGCAGGAAAGGCAAGCTGGCCAGGGGAGCAGGATGGAAAGTTACAAGCAGTTAACACCAAAGTGTCAAAACTCACAGTCCCTGACAAACAGGAGGTGAGAAGGAAGGGGCCCACCTGGCCCTGACCAACAGAGATAAACTGTGAAATTGCCAAAAGGCACTCAGCCAAGGGGAATGTCCCACTACAAGAGAACAGAGAGGTGGGACAACTAACAGACACAATCCTTTAAATAACCCAATAGGACCGGGAAAAACCTAGGTGACTTGGGAAAGATTGTGCACCCCAGAGTACTCGCCAATGAGGAGGTGGGAGAGGGGATAAAACACCGGTTATACTCAACCTGGGGGTCCCTGAGCACCAGGCACTGGCTCTTGCAACACCATCATTAAAGTAAAGCTTTGCTCTTTGCTGTTCCTGTGACTCTTGGACAGGTGAGCGTGCTTCTCACGCTATTTAACAGCCAAAGAACAAAGCACACCAATACACATTGAGAGCCTGACAACTGACTGGTGTGTTCCTGTATCAAACACTTACCTGCCCTGGCCCCTTGAATCCTAAAACAAACCACAACTCTGTCACCGTACAAATCACTGCTCACTCCAAAGTGGAGGGACTGCTGGAAAACCGGAGTTGAATTTCATTCAAAGACAAGAAGAAAAATCTCTCTTAATAGTTGGACTAAGAAGACTGCACCCAGACTTTAAAAACCAATTTTATGCTTCCATTTAAAGTGCAAACATAAATGGATGGCGTTGGAGAAGATAAAGCTAAGTGAATTCAGCCAATCTCTAAAAAACAAATGCCAAATGTTTTCTCTGATACAAGGAGGTTGACTCATAGTGGGTTGGGAGGGAGAGCATGGGAGGATTAGATGAATTCTAGATAGGGCAGAGGGGTGGGAGGAAAGGGGGGGCAGGAGATTAGCAAGGATGGTGGAATGTGATGGACATCATTATCCAAAGTACATGTATGAAGACTTAAATTGGATATCAATATACTTTATATACAAACAAAGATATGAAAAATTGTGGTATATATGTGTATTAAAATTACAATGCAAAAAAAAACACAAAGCACATGTGAAAAGGCATAAATTGGCATGAACATATTTTATATACCAAGATACAAAAAATTGTGCTATATGTGTAGTAAGAAATGTAATGCATTTCACTGCTGTCGTGTATTTAAAAAATAAAATAAAATCAATAAAAGATATTTTTTTTAAAAAAGCGCAAACATGCCCAGCAGACAGGAGATGTGCAAGGTGACTAGGCCTTGAGCTAATATAAAGGCTTCACTTTTCCCAACTTGGGTCCATCTGGTGCTGACACTGTAAACACTGTCATTACACCAGACAGAGCGCGGTGTGGAAGGCTTCCTATGAACCTTCTCCACCATCACTCTGCCCCATGTACATTTGCTAGTTTTCTCCAGCTGCAGACTCTCACCGCTCCCCCGCCCCCGGGACAGATGGCGGCTCCTGACCTGGGAAGAGGTCCTGCACTTAGCCAAGCACAGTTCAAAGTGATCTTCCACTGCCATGAAGAGGTTCTGGAATGCCACTGCTGCCCGGTTGAGGAAGCGCTCCAGGAGAAGTTGCTACAGAAACAAAAATCAGTACCTGTAATAATTCCACAGCGAGCAAGCACAGGTTAATAAGAGATGCTGACATAGAGACAGAGGGGGCCCAGTTCCTTATTCACTAGGCCTCTGATTAGCAACACAGTGGGCCTTTCTGCAGGGGAGCCTTCAGTCCCTGAGAACCAGCTCCTCTCTCTGCAGGCAAAGCCTACTGCACAGCAGTGATTTCTGATCCCACAAAGTTCCTTTCTAAGTTCTATAATCAGCAGAACCTCAGAAGAGCCTCATGGTCACCCTGAAATAAAGGATGACAGACAGGGAGGCCTGGAGCCGCAGCTGCTCTACCTTGTTGGGCTGCAGGCAGCAGGACACACAGTGCTCGTAGGCGCTGCAGCAGCCGTTGGCCAGGCAGCCATCGCAGCAGTACTGCTTTGTGCTGGGGACGCTGACATCACAGCAGCCATTGGTCAGCAGATCCTTCCGTTCACAGACGTACCCTGCAAGTCAGAGAGGAGTCTGAGCATGGAGCCAGCAGTGAGCACGGAGCAGTGTGAGGACGGACACAAGGACAGAAGCTGGCGACGGGGCAGCCTCAGCATGGGGGCGCCAGATGCGGACAAGTGACTAGGGCTGGCTTTCTCAGAGGGGGAGTGAACAGAAAGTAGGGCTCTCCACCGGGGCTGGCTCCACACTGCGATGCCTGTCAGCCCACAGCCAGGTGTTTCATCTGGGCACCTCGTCAACACCAGGAGACCGCCCACGACTTGCTGTTCTAACCTCTGCAAGCCAACCTGTCTTTCATCTGCCTCAAGAAAAATGTCCCCTTTTTTTCCTTCCTTTTTCCCTCTATTGCAGTGCAGGGAATACTCTTTTTCAAATAAAAATCTGAAAATAGGAAAAACCAAGGCATTCACTCACAAAAGTTCTTTCTAGACTTAAATATCAACAAAACACTCTCTACAACATCTTTTAAGTGCTTGCTGTTTATTTAGTAATTTGGAGAATTTCCCAAGTAGAAATAGTCATACTTCACCTTTGTAAAGTGATTCAGGCTCTTTGCACGTGAAATACTGGGGACTCAGCTAACCCTGGAGTTAGGGGACGCTGCCCCCCGATGCCCAAGGAAGAGAAAACCTCCTCCTGAGTCTCTCCACTCAACTACATGCAGCCATCTCCTCCAGCCCAGTGGCCTCATGCCTAATGCCACCTCCCCACAGAAACTGATTTCTTGTTCAGAGCTTTGACACAGACATTTCTCCACATCCTTCTAGGAGTGGGACAGAAAAATGTCAGAAGGCTTCCATGAGGGCCACCACTGGGCTCTTAAGATACTCCCAGGTGCACGTTCAGGCCCACAGGTGCGTGCACGGGTCCACAGGTGCAGAGCAGCTGCTCCCAGCATCACTCCACTCAAATGCCCCAGCTCCTTGGTCCTCAGAGAATGAGACTCGTTGTAGCGCAGGTTGTTTTCAGAAGCTACACTGGAAAACAAAGCCTAGGCAGAAGCAGGAGGCACCTGTGGAATAAGGACAACAGAAGGGACCAAGGGGGCCTTTGCTCAACACCTGAGAAACTGAGGCCTCAGGAGAACAGACCTAGTTACCTGGGAAACTGGTACCCTTTGCTGTTGTGTAACTGTTATTCCGTCTCCTAGGTTAGGAGAGGATGATTCTAAAGGCATAGTAAATGTTTCTGGGAGTTTCCCCCAACTATTCCTACTTATTTTCTTTATAGAGAATTCAAACAAACAAACAATCCAAGTAAGTCAGCACTTTTCTTGAAATTCTGCCCCAAGTGATAACTATAAACAACTCTGTGCCAGGAAGATCTAAATATTATGTGACCGAAAGGCTATTTGTCCAGTTAGCTTTCTGCCATTTCCTTTTCCACACTGGGTCAGTATTTCAGGCCTTCTTTTTGTTTCCAGTGCCACTGTCCAGCATTAAGCCTGGAATCTGCAGGTCTCATTTCTGGAAAGTTCATCAAGTTCTCAAGACCTCTTGCTCTATACCATGGGCTACTCATGCAAATGTTATTTCCAACAAGGAGACGGGTGAGATCACAACCTCGAAATGCATTGCACTGCCTGGGAAATTAACTTCCAACCTTTGATAAGTCTGCAGTTCTAATTGGTTGTCTTATTTAATGACATGTTACCCAGGCAATATTCGTGGTGGCATCTGCTTGCTGAAAGGCGTGAGTGCTGTGAGCTTTCTTTATTTCTTAAGTCACTTCTCCCACATTCACGGAAGTGAAATAAAAACCTATGACTCTTGGATTTTCACCAATTGATGAGTTGATTCTTGGAACTTTTTAAAGAGTCTGTGAGTCTCTGTCTCACGTACATTAATCAGAAAAAAAAAGTATTCTTTTGCTAGCTACAATCAAAGAAAATGACAATTGTGTTTATAACTCAATGCTAAATTCGAAAGTCAAGGCATAAGATGTCAGGTCTTCTAAATTTGAAGTAAGCCCCGAACTCCACCATGTCAAGGCATCTGATCCCAGTCCTAACCAGCTGCACTATCTCTGTCAGTTAACTAACTCCCTTTGCTCAACTTTACTATTAAAAAAAAAAGACTTTTGCAATATTTGCTTTTTCAATGTGACCTTAAGAAGAGCTTGTCACTGCTACCACTGCTGATTTGCAAGTATATTTTTGTTCAAAATTTTCAGCTCTCTTATCTTAGGTAGGCAGTTTTCCTCTGACCCACCTCATTTCCAAATAATATCATCTCTGGTTTCATGACTTTGGGATCTTTTTGAGAAAGTTTTATTTATTTATTTTTATTTTGCAGGGTCTCTAAATGTTTTTTAAAGCAATAACGTCTTCATTTACTTTGGCCTCATCATGTGTAGATGAAGACTCTACTAAAGGTTCACCTGTCACAATTCCAATACTGTCCTGTTCACAAACCATCTATCCTGAGACTCTTAAATGGTAAAATTTGTTTGCAAACAAACAAGGAAACCATGTTATTTACAAACCACTAATTAAGAAAAAAAAAAAACCTACAAAGCATCAGGGAACTTTGAGCACTGTCTGGATACCGTTAGCACTTTTTCTGATGTGATAATAGTATTGCACTTATGGTTTATGAAGGTCCTTAGCAATCCTGGGCAAGCACTTAAGCCCTGGTGCCTCTCTCTTCACCTACAAAATGAGGCTGGCAATACCTATCTTCACAGGTCTGCTACAAAAACAAAAAAAAATGCAAGACATCCACACTTGATGCCCAGTGCCCAGCACTTGGAGGAGCTCAGTCAGTGCAGGCTGAGCAACAGCAGGCCTCTGGGAAGGGCAAGCAGGCTTCAAGGGGGATGAGCTCTAGCAGGTGTCTGGTCTGGCTGCCTCGCCCCAAAGAAATCTCTTTTCTTATAGCTTAAATAGAAGCAAGAAAATATCCCTCAATTTCTAAGAGGAACACACTTTGAGTATGATTCATTTGAAACTGACCAGTCAGTCTATCAACAACCACATTTCCTGAGCGTCAACAGTAGGTGGATTCACTCAGGCTACCAAGGATTTTTAAACTGAACTCTCACTTTACAGAGTTCACCATCAAGATGGAGGAAAAGGTTGTCAAGAGCTGAAAATACGTGAGCTGGAGAGAGACTGGCAGAAGTGGCCCAGGGACTGATGGACAATTAAGTGCTGACACTGGAGGCTGCAGACACAGCAACTGTTAGGAGGAGGGAGAACCACCAAGGCAGGCTTCTCTGACACTGAACAGAAATGGTGAGCAGGGCATGACAGAAATGAAATGAGCACGCAGGGAGACGCGCTGCAGAGGAACGCCTGCTGAGACCAACCCCACCAAGGGCCCCACCAGCACGTTGCATCCTGGCTGCCAAGATAGGGCGCGGAGCCGGCCTTACCCAGGTCGTCCGTGATGAGGTGCTTCCCTTGAATGGAGTTCCGGCACTGATTGCTTGGCCGGCTGCTATTGCCCAAGTTGAACTGTACCTTCCATGGAATGGGTTGGTCGTGGTCCTGAACCTGGAGGAGATTCCGATCTCTCACTGCCCTCTCCTCCTGCAAAGAGACCATCAATGGAAAGGTTAAAGTATCTTTCCTTGTGATCTCACCAATTTTTCATAGAGACTGCAGCAAGAGGACATCATAAGAAGCTTGCCCCCCAGGAACCTGTACTCTGCTGGTAGAAACAACATCCGAGAAGGGTCATAAAATAGAATTGTAGGAAAAAAATCGTAAGGTTTTTTTTGCCTGTACCTGGCAAGTTTACCTGCAAGGTCCCAGAATGACGTGCACATGACAAATGTGCAGAAGTGTTCATTTGCAGGGAAAAAGCTTTGAACTTTTTCTTTCTGATGGCCTGTCATTTTGAATTTTTTCATATTAAAAAAAAACATGTGGAATAGAATGCAAAATTTGAATACTTTAGCGTAAACAGAAAAGGAAACATTTTTGTGACTGTCACCTCAGGCATAGCAGACACATCTGGAGCACAGGTCGCTTTCATTTGCAGTGAGGGTATTTCAGAGACACAGTATGGGGAAACTGAGTTGGGGCCGACAGAGGGTAAGATGAAGCGGTCATCTCGGGAGTTCACTGTGTGGGAATCCTGAGAATGTAACCCACAGCACCTCTACAGCAGACCAGAGGAGGAGCTGCCTGAGCAAGAGTTGACCCCCTGTCTCCTAGCCCTGAAGCCATGCTGGGCGGGGAGTTTTCTAAATCACCTTTTCTGTGCCATTAAAGAGATTGAGGAGGAAGGTGCTCAAGTGCCAGAAAGCCTGCCAAGCAGGGGACAAACCACTGCAAAAGACTCTCTCCTGAAGGTCTTTATGTTCTTTAAACATTCACCGTTCAAACAGAGTTCGGTGGCTTGAACCACTGAGATTGATCTGTTGTGGCAGGGTGCCCGCTGGTGAGCCCAGCTGTGTGAGAAGCGGAGACAGGAGGAGCTTCTCGATCTTTTCTTTAAAAAGGAAGGGGTCTGCTGGGGATGTGGTTAGTGTTAGAGTGCTGGCCTAGCATGTGAGAAGCCCCCGGTTCAATCTCCACATCGCCAAAGAAAACAGACCTGTCTTTTGTCACTTTTTAAGCAAAAAGGATTAACTTTGAAAATCTGATGGCAAGGGCTGGGGCTGGGGCTGGGGCTGAGCGGTAGGGCGCTTGCCTAGCATGTGTGAGGCACTGGGTTCGATTCTCAGCACAGCTGTAAAAAAATAAAGGTCCATCAACATCTGAAAAAAATATTTTTAAAAATCTGATGGCAAAACTTACATAGTTTTTAAAAAATGAGAAACACCTTTGTAATTATTAAAATTTATTTAGAAAACTAATCTGGGAAGAGCCATTAACATTTAAAACAAATATATATTAACAACTTGGCCCAGCAAACCCTTTTTTGAAGGCCACCCTATAGACAATGCCAATGTGTAAGGATGCACTGGGGTACTTACATTGTTTAAAAGGTAGAAAAACCTAGAAGCTCAACAGAGAAGAACTGAGTACTAGTACAGACGTGGTCTTACAACAGGCTGCAATGGACTGACAGATGTCTAGAGTAGGTCTTCACCCGGATTCCCACATTCAATTATGTACAGCTTAAAATGAATTCTGACTCTTGAGTCTACCAATAGATGAGGAAAACACCTCTGTGGATGAGAACTGGGTATCAGTGTTCTTAAAAGTCCCAGATGATTTTAACAGGGTGCAGAGCACTGAGTGTCTACAGTATATTAAGAGAGAAAGCAAGTTGAAAATAGTGTGCACCGTGTCACACATTATATTCTGATAACAACTACAACATGTACATATAGGTTGGTAAGAACTGAGAAAAGCTTAGAAAGTCTACTCCCAATTATTGCCATGGAAGGAGATTGTGATTCTTAAAATTATCTTTAATCATTTTTGGAATAATCTTATTTTTAATTTAAGACGTGTTTGTGAATAACAGGAGAAACGAAGGGAAGGTCCTGCAGGAACTACACTGCCTGGTGACTTTTCTGTACACCTGTAATTATTTCAGACTAAAAGGTGGGTGTTTTTGTTTTTGTTTGAGAGAGAGAGAGAGAGAGAGAGAGAGAGAGAGAGAGAGAGAAATTTTTTTTAATATTTATTTTTTAGTTTTCAGTGGACACAATATCTTTATTTTATTTTTATGTGGTGCTGAGGATGGAACCCAGCGCCCCGCGCATCCCAGGCAAGCACGCTACCGCTTAAGCCACATCCCCAGCCCTAAAAGGTGTTTTTAAAAATAATTATCAACATTAAAGACAGAAATTACCCATGATCCCATCACACAAATAAAACCCCATCTGTATCTGTACATGAACTTCTGGCCTCTAAACCCACTTGATGTCACAAATTAGGGTGCTTTGCATTCAGCTCTTCTTGACACTAATTGGATAGTAAAACATTTCCAAGCACCTACAGGATCTCTGATCATCTCATTTTCAAGTCTATATAACGCCATCATGCTGATGTGCCCTGAGTAAACACATCCTCGTAGACTAACATGAGAATACCCAGGGATTTTGCTATCCTAGATGGCTCTCAATAAAATGTGAGGATTTAAAAAACTGTTGAATAATTTTTAGTAGTAAATGCCATGCGATGCTGAATAACTCCAAAAATTCTATCTACCGTGTGCGATACCACCAGCATTTAAATGCCACTAATTATGATTTGGCCACAACCCCACCAGGACCAGTTTTGTTCTTTAATTTACTATGTAAATGGTCTTTCAAGGTGGCTTTTTTGTTTTAACAGGAAAAAGTGGCACCAGCCTGCACTTGGCAGGATGTACAAGAACAGGTGTATTTGCTGGTCAGTGGGAGATGAGGAGCGAAGTGCAGGAGTCTTGGGAACTGGGACAAATCATTTAGGAGCATCCTGCTTAACTACCTGTGAATTCACACCCCGCTGCTCTACTGGGACACACGAGCTAACTGCATCATCAAGCTGTGTGCACATTAACCTGAGCTGCAAATGCCACCCTGGATAAATTAATAGCTATAAAGACTATTAAGGGGCCAGTCAGAGTGCAGTAAACTGGCTGTTACGACAAGGTTAAAAGTGTCCTTAACATTATTCCCAAGCTATCCTGTTATTTGTCTTGAAAGAAACAAGAGTTCATGGCCAAGTGATCTCAGAAGGCTCTCTGCCACAGAACAATATTCCTGGTAAACAGGAAAGCAATTCTCCCAGCGCTTGAACTTGTTTTCAAACATGAATATTCAAGACCCTGCCAAAGAATTGTGTGGGGAGGGCAGAGATGGCATAAGGTAATGACCTGGCCCCAGTTCCTTTTCTGATGGCACAGTCTTGCAAAGGGCAGGGGGAAGGAGCACTGAGGACTTTCTTCCTTCAGATGGGAGCTTAAACTTTTCTCAAACTGTTCCCCAACCCTACGGGTGGTCTCAGCTTGAAGCTCTTCACCAAATATGTGTATTTTTTTCATTCAAGATTCAGTCAAATGTATGGAACTTCTACAAAGTACAAAGGCTACAGGGACAAAGGTGACCAGGTGCTCCAGTCTCCAAAACCTCCTTGAAGCTGCTGGCAAGGAGATCTGCACCAAATCAGTGCAACAGACCACTGCAGACAGGATGAAGATGTCCCGTGGTACACCAGGGCACCAAAGAAAGGGTAGGAACAAAGACACACGAGAACTTTCTTTTAGAATTGTAAGGAGTGCAGAAATGTCTTCATTGCTAATGAGTGTCACTTTGCCTTGAATTTTCAAAAGGTGTATTAATAACTGTGCTGGGCATGTTTCAGGGGTTGTTATAAAGGTCAAATGAAATGGTGTCCCACGTGGGTGAGAAAGCACTTAAACACAAGGCACTTTTGCCATTAAGAGATCTGCCTGAGTGTCTGGAAACTGGGAAGGAGGAAAGCCGAAGAACTTCCCAAATGCCTAATATTTGGGAATTGCAATAATGAAAAATCAAAGTTATAAAAAATTTAAAAGAGCTTTTCAAGATGAAGAAAATGCTTATATGCTGTGAAGAAACAGTAGGCTTCAATTACACACAGAGAAAGTATGAAAAATGACAGGAAGAAAATAAATAGGGGACCCCTCTGGTTGGTGAGATTACCGGTAACTGTTCCCTCTGCTGGCCTGTGAGGCCCTTTACAAACTTTCTAGAAGACATGTGTATCTTGGTGATCAGTGAAAATGCAAAACAAAAGCCAGATAACCAACACAATCTTAGGATTTACTGCACTTCACTTCAGATAGCATCTAAGATGGCTCCAATTCACAGACCTAACTGCTTTAAAGCCAAAGATGTTAATGTGTTTTCAAGGAGCTAGGCAAATAGCCCCTTGAACTGTAGGAGCAGGGAACACTGCCTGAGAGGACCTGAGGACCCTCTGGCCAGCACTGGGATTCCCTGACCTCAGGCCCAAAGCCCTGGAGTCATCATCTCTCACCCTTTGACTTCCTGTCTTTCCTCCTCCCAGCCCATGACATCTGCCTGCCCATGTGCCTTCTCCAATGTGCGCCATCTCCAACACACCACAGCACATGCCCAGAGGGGCACAGTGGTGCTTAGGAAAACTTTGTTAAAGAACATGCCAAGTTACCTGGCACCACTTGCCACCCCCAACCCTGTGCCCCAATGACATCCCTCACTAGTTTCTCCTATGTTCCCATCTATAAAAACTTAAATTATCCCCCAAAGCATTAATTAACATGAAAACCAAAGAAAAGAGGGATCCAAGAAGCAGAAGCTAATGACTACCTCTGGACCAAGCACCGCCCTGCTGCATCTGCCGTCTCCCATCTCCCCAAGCAAAGCAGAGGATCCCGCAGAGCTCCCAGTCTCCAGGCTTCTTCTCAATTAATGGCAAACACTTTCCTCCCCCAGCCCCGAACTCCAGCTCTCCAGCTCCATTTTGCAGATGGAGAACCTGGAGAGGGCAGCCAGGTGAGGGGAGCACACTGGCTTCCAGGGACATTCCCGCAGACTGGCAGACGCCAGTTGAAGTTGGTCACAGCACCAGGGTGCACAGGCCAAGGCAGGCAGGAGAGCAGCAGCCAAGGTGGCCTAGGGCAG